TAGAAAATTAAATTAAAATTTAAATGTAGCACCTCTGAATAAGGACAACCAGACCAGTCTAAAGCCAATGTTCTCATGTAAAGATGGAGGTTCTTATCAGGTTATATTCATAGATATATTTTAATCAAATATTAAATAATTTGAATAATTATATTATAAATATAAAATTAGGCAGTACAGTGGCACAGTTGGTAGAGCAACATATAAGAAGGAAGAAGGTTGCTAGATCAACTTTCTGTTCTCCAGGTACTCCAGTTTCTCTCACAGACCAAAATCATATTTATTATATGACATAAAAAGCAAATAACTTAATAATTTGGGATAACACTGCAGTAGATGGAGTTTGTAATTGTGCTTGTTTTAGTCTTTATTTCCAGTTTTGGGGCTTTATAATCAGTTTTTTCTCCACAAAAGTAAACATCAACAAGTAAATAAAAATTTTAACATACACAGAAGAGGTGATGCCTCTAAATTTTAAAAAGCTTGTTCCTTGTAAATGTCTTTAAAATATCTATTTTGACATTTTTAAATAAAATGACAATCATTTTTGAAGGGAACTGTCCCAATCAAATTAAAAATTTAATTCATTTAAACCCCCACATTTACCATAAAATATTAGTTCATCCAGTGCTGTTTCTCTTGCTTAACAAATAAATTTATTTTATTTTACCTATAGAATACTCACATTAGATGTTTTCCTGTGTAGGTAAAAATCTGTTTAACAACATGTTAAAATACACCAGAATGCAGGAAATGGCATTTACTTCTTTAAACATTTATGGGGGAGGACCCCCAGACCCCCCGCCAGTGGGTCCCCTCAACATTACAAATGCTTGTTTTTTGTCTGAATGCCATAAAATCAGTGATATTATCTGTAAAATTACAAATTGAACATTTGTTGACAAATATACATAGCTTTATACTGCCGTAGTTTTCAATTCGTCATCTTTACAAACACATCAAAAAWTTTTCTGTTACAGATATTAGTTTTATTTTCAGCAAGGATGTATCATAATCTCATGGCACATTGTAAACATGGCCATCCACCAAAACTCAGACTGGGTGAGGGAGGACATTAATTAGAAGAGCAAACCAAAAAGTCGAAGCTAACCCCGATGGAGCAGAGGAGCTCTTCTGCTGAGATGGAAGGTCTGTCCATAGGACCACTACAAGCTGGGCTTCATGGGGGAAAGACCAGGGAACAAAGTCAGACCTTTATGAAATGTGGAAGAAGTTGCTTTTCCTCGGCAGGTTCCTTCTGACCTGATTGAGGAGTTAAAGTCTAATAAAAGCTGGTGAGATAATTTCATCAGATTTATTTACATTAATTAAAAGTAAAATAATCTGAAGTGAGGCTTCTTTTAACTGATCTATTTTACTTTGAGTCTTCTCAGAGTTTGAATACAGAGCTGTTTATTTATTTAATCCTTTCTAATAGTGATTAGCAGGTAAGCAGAGTGAACAGTTTACTCATGACTAAAACTAGAGTCTGCACTTAGGTCAGCACAATGAAAATAAATCAATTTGTGCATTTTAGTCATGTTTTGGTAACTATCAAACACTAATCTAGCATTTCATGTAATACGCCAATTAAAGCCACTACATATTGATTCTATTTTATTTTTTTTTTATTTAAGGTAGTTTGACTCGACTTTTTGGGTTGGGTGGGGGTATTGTGTATTCTAGGCACATGCTCGAATTCTATACCACAATCAAGTAACTGTTACCTCAGTTGTTGTGAAATTGTTGTATATACCAAAATAAATTAGATTTTCTCAATCACAATCTATCTACACATCTCTTTAGGAAACTCCTACCATTTCTGACACTCCTACTTCAACATATCTTCACAGCAATGCTTCGGTAGAGGGGTGATCTGTGGGGTGAGAGCTCGGCTGCAGACAGAGCTCCAGGGAGGAGCTTTGGGTAAATAGGCGGAGCTTTGTACCTGCAAGTGTTAAGGCAGCTCCATATAGCTACCACAGGAGATTCAATGTTTTCTCAAACATGCATGAAAGAGTCAAAATAACACTGGTATGTATGACATTATAAGAAGATATAAAGATAGTATATTTTGCACAACAAATACCCCCCTTTAAAGGTTTGATTGCCTTTTRGATAGGGGTGGGAATCTTTTACTCTCTCGCGATTCGATAATAATTTTTGGGACCATGATTCAATTCAAAATCTATTTTTCATTCAAAGCTGATAAGGTGAGCCCATTTGTTGTGTTCCCAAAGTGCCTCATCTTCATTTTGCAAACCTCACACACCTCGCTCGTGTCAAACTCAGACTGGTTCAGTAAAAACCAAAATGAGCCCAAATCTTTGTATTCAATGAAGACAGGGTCAGTTGAATCTCTCTTTTCTCCAGTTTTGTAGTTTCCTCTTTGTTTTGGTGCTTTCTGCGCATTCATATGTTCCAGAAGCAGCTGCGTGATGACGTCAGGATGTCCTATGTAGTTACAAATTGGAGGCCGCTTTTAAATTGATTCTGAATCGTTGTAATTGAGAATCACGATTCTGATGTAAAACGATTTTTTGGTGCACCCCTACTTTTGGAGATTATAGCTCAGTAAGACCCTCAGACCTCTAGAGGGAACCAAGGAGCTACAAAGCTTCTTTGTAATTTCTTCTCATAAAAGCTGCAGCTGCTCAGATCACTGATGGTGATAAATCTGTGCTGAAAATCTACCTCTGACTGGTTTTTAGTTCAAGTTGAGCTGAATATCTTGGTTCTTGTTCAAACGTAATTGATCAATTCAATTGATCAGTTTTACTTTAGTTTTGTGGTGGCACGATTTACCAAGAATGCAGAAACACGTTGGAATAAATGCACAGAAAGTCTGCGTGTATGGTCGTCAAATGATTTAATTTGAGCAACAACAGAGCAGAAGTCAATCAGAGAAGTCTGYTGAGYTGTGGCTGCTGCCTCGGCTCAGAGCAGCCGATAATATAACATCCTGTGACATGCTTACAACCAATCACAGTTCGCCAACTGTGAACCATCTAACCAATGACAGGGCTGTCAGCCCGGAAACACCTTATCAAAATAAAAGAGGTCATGCATTGCTGGAGTCTTGAAGTCTAGGGCCGATAGAGTAAAACAGCYGAAACTAGTTATCATGAGATATGATTACTGGACAGTGTCAAGGTAGAACAGATATAAACAATTAGTCCATAACRGTTTCATTTGAAATTTAATTAACATTTACTGGTGTGTATTTGATTGCTGACTTTAGGCAGCTGATTGTTGTTAAATGCATTTTTGATTTGATTTATTTGTKTTATATTTCTGGATGTCCATAGTCCAAAGTGTAAAACCTTCACATTGAGCATTCAGTTGAAGGTCAGATGAAGTAAAAACCCATAACCCCGTGGAGCTTTCCTTCACTCAGTAAATGTGTTGATTGGGTCAAAGGTCTGTTCCTCCATTGTCTCATGAGTCAATCTTCTCTTTTCTTTGTCTCGGGACAAAAACAGCAGCAAGCAAACTAAAAACAGAGGAAGGACTTTGTGTTTTGGGTATTTTCCACTCCCCTCTGATGGTATGTTATTGTCGTTAGTAAAGATTATCTAACCATGGAGTCTGGGAAGTAGGTGGGCTGTAGCACACCGAGCAGTTTGGCAACATTAAACTGGTTTCAGTCGCTGGTCTTTGCGCCTTTCTTCTGAATCATGTGTTAATGTCCTCCAAACTTTAAGCAGCCCATATACCTCTTTATTATCTAATCGTCTCAACTTTCTGCTCTTTCTGCTTTCGACCAGACCATGGCGGAGTACAGCTCTCTGCTCAGCGACCTGTCTGAAAACATCACCAACGAGGATTTGGAGCAGCTCAAATCAGCCTGTAAGGAGGACATCCCCGAGGACCAGAGCAACAGCATCACCTCCTCCAAGGAGTGGTTCAGCTACCTCGAGAAGAACGACAAGCTCGCTCATGGTGAGAGRCGCAAATCCATTAGTCTGGCCTCAACTTCCRAACCGTTTGTCACAAGTAACAATACTGGTTTGAGGTCTTTTCTGTCAGACTGATCCACCGTGCCTCCCTTTCAGATAACCTGTCGTACATTGAGCACATCTTTGAGATTTCGCGGCGACCGGACCTGCTGACGAGGGTGATCGAGTACCGCACCACTGTGCTGAAGATCTCTGAGGATGATGAGATTGACACCAAGCTCACCCGCATCCCCTCTGCCAAGAAATATAAAGGTAGCACTTTCCACACCTTTCAGGAAGGTTGCATACAGACATTATGCATGTATAATACGCATCGAGTATAATGCAACCTCCCATTTTTGAGTTTATAAAGCATAAAGAATCTAATCCATGTGTATAAAGTTAACCCTAACTTCATGCAGACCTCAGGATTTTTCAGCCTTTGCGGTTCACCCTCTGTGAACTGTGTTTGTGGCTGCAGTCTCACAGCAGAATCTGGTTGTTTAATTAGCAATATGGACTATTGAGGACATGAACGTGCAACTGACATCTACGTCTTCTTTCCGTCTCCTTGATTAACAAGAAAAAAATCTGACTTCTGTGTGGAAAAAAAGAAAACAACTACTGTTATGTAGTATATGCTTTGATATGTGAGACATATTCTACAGCAGGAGGGCGGAGAGAGGAATTAAGATTATTTATCCCCCACAACAATATTTCAGTTATATACAAGAAAATATTGGAATTTACTGTGGTAGTACATTAGCAAAAAATCAGTCAAAATTTTCTCCTGTGTATAMTACTACCCCCTCAATGTTAYAATTGATTTTTGGGGATACAGTTTTTGCATTATACACGTATAAATGAGGAGTGAAYGTCACCAGAAGAGATGGGATGAATGGGTTTTTGAGGGGATTCAGATCATGACGAAGCATTTGATTTTAAAAGATCCTCCCCCTTTCCCCCAATGACTCTTTACTGTCGCCAACTTGGTACTTATTGTTTGTTGTAAGGAGCCGTTCACAAGATTCAAATTGTTCTAATCCCCTGCTTTATCACGATACGATATTATATTGGTTTGTTTGGGTGACGATACGATGTTTCAGTATCACAAGTCTATCATGATGCGATTTCAGTTCAAGTCTGCGATCARTATGATGCAATATGGATCAATGTTTTTGTTTTGCCTTGATGTAAWTGATTCATTAAATAATTTAACAAGTATATTGATGTGATTTGATGTATTGTTACAACCCTAGCATAAATGCAATACTTCAAATGGTTTCTAGACACCTACCTCATGTCTAATTACCCTGACCTTTCTTTTTTGACACCTTGCGTAAGAGCCATAAACTCATTCCAGTGGAACATTTTGCAGCACATCTCAGCTCCTGCAAAAACCCAAACAACCAAAAGTATTAGATTTAGGCTTGCCAGCTCCCAGTGTATTTTTCTAGAAATAATGAAATACAGTGTTAGACTGCAGCAAAACAATGTTAGAGCGTATAGCTGAGTCACGTATCAGATCTAATGGACATTTATTTAAAATGACAGCTCACAAGAAAAGATTTGATCACCACCTGTTACCTCCCCTCCTCCATCTGCATCTCTGCTTGAGACCTGGCACAGGTGTAAAGTAACAAAGTAAATTTACTTTGTTACAGTACTTAAGTCATTTTTTCAGTTTCATTTCATTACATTTGGAATGTTAAAATATTTTCAYTTCTTTACTGAAAAATTTAACACCAGTTACATGTTAAAATTTTTAATATGACCAAACTCATCATGAAAGCAGTTGTTTGTGCACTCTAAAAAATGAAATGTTGAAATTACTTAACCAAGTTATGTCAACTGGTTCCACTAAAACCTGCTGAGCAAATAGTTTTTCATTTACTCAGTTTGGTCTGGTTGAACCAGTTGACATAACTTGATTAAGTAAAGGCAACACTTCTTTTTTTTAGAGTGTGTAAAATTACCTTTACTTTTCCCAATTATTGTGAGCAGTTTTATGACTTTTATTATGTACTTTTCTTATCCATGAAATTAATTTGTACCCAAGTCATTTTCTGTTAGGGTATTTTTACTTTTACTTATTTTTTTCAGCTACTTTATACCTCTGGAAACTAGGAAGTAAAAACAACTGGGTTTTTAAAAGTGATGAAGTTCTTCCCTCTAGTGGTTGAAAAACAGAAAACATTAAGTCTATGATATAGTGATCATTTAAACATCTTTGTTTTTCTCTCTTTTTCTTCTCTTCTTACTTCTGGGAAAAATAAGACATCATCCGCCAGCCCTCTGAAGACGAAATCATCAAGTTGGCTCCTCCCCCTAAAAAGGTGTGAGCGCAGGATTTGCCGGCATGCTCTCTGCACCTTAGTTTCTCCACTCCTGGCCCTTACATCAACCAGCCAACCATTTCTCCTTCACCCAAGTCCCGCCCACATCCATTCAACACACACCGATACGCATCCACCTGCGCACCCACCCCACCACGAACCCCTGACGCTGCAACACGGACCCACGCAGGCTGCCACCTACAAAGCAACCAATCAGATCGTAGCAACGCAGCCTCCTGCCCTGATGATTTCGGGATGGCGAGCTGAAGCAAACACAYACAAAAAAATAGACTCTGCAAGAAAATATTTGAAGACGGACCAACAAAGTATGTGTGCGAGGAACGCGGTTGAGTTCATCCTGACTCAGATGCTGAGTCGGGTCCGAATGAGTGAAATGCGTGATGTTCTGTGTGTGCGTGTCACTCTTGGTTGTTAGGACTTTAGAAGACATCCAACTGCGAGGAAGCAGAAATGACAAAATCCTGCCTCTGAGCGAAACAAAATGAAATTGTAAAGGTTTTCAGGAAACTACAAAAAGAAGCCTAAATATTGCTACTAAAAAACTGCTAACATGTTACACACATGAGCAGTGATGCTTCAATATAGTTCATTAGTGTTTAAAGGTTTCTGGTTTTAGATTCACCTAAAATACACTAAATAGCCAAAACATCAAATATAATGATCAGAAAATTATTTATTACCATCTTGGCGTAAACTAAAATGTGTAAATATCTGAAGTGGATGAAGAACAATTCTGAAACTTAGAGTAAAATTAATTTAAATCTTACACGTCACCGGTTGGCTCATTTTTGTGAAGGTGCTCGTTTTTGTGTTTCTGTAGTTGCTTAAACGTCTCGGCGTGTTTGTGAAACGAAAGAAGCRGTTTTGATGCTGAACTCGTGTCCGCAGGTCAGTGGAGAATTAGCGTCGGTGCAAGTCTGGAGCTGCTTTTTGTCTTTACGCTAAGCTAAGCTAAACGAAGCTAAGCTAAATTAGCTCCCGTGAGCCGTAGCAGCAGAGTGGCATCAACTTTCTCATTTAAATGTTCCTCGCAGCCTAACTGTGGTTTCCTAAAAAAAAAATCATTATAACATTAAGTCGAACAAGTTGCACGTGAGTTTGAGGCTGCTACATTCAAAACTAAACTTTATCAAATTTCAACAACGCGACAGTCTTGTATCTTTAGCAGCTCTATAAGCATTCCCTTTACTGTGATGCGAATAAATRGGATGTTTCATGAGCAAAGAAATGGTCTAATACTTTAGAGAGATATATATAACAATGATTTTCATAGTATAAAGCCAATATTTGCCTTTAGCTTATCGTCATTGTAAGGGTTATTTAGAGTTTGGGAAACTATAGCATTTATTTCTTTGCTTTGAAAKATTCCTGTCTACAGGTTTCCTTTATTATGGGAACCAAAGTGAATGTCCTTTAGAGGAGCTGGTTAAAGCTGTATATAAATATACAACAAGAAAAAATAGTATAAGTACAGTTTATGCTCTGTTCAGCTAACTTTAGCTCAAGCAGTAAATTTATACCGTACGTGCAGTTTTACCGTCTAAAGTATTTTAGTTACCAAATTTAAATCTAGTGTTACTTTGTGAGCGAAGTTAAATTAAACTACGAGTAAATTTCAAATATTTACATTTTGTTTTTTTTTACTCCTGTTACTGATTTATTGAACAATAAAAAACTGACCAGTGGATTTAAAGACGACCCTTTAGAGAGGGGAGATAAAAATCAAAATGTATGTTTTAATTATTCGTGTTCTTTTACAAACTGTACATAATTGTGACGAGGATCTCTAATGCACTCAGCGGCTCATTACYGGACTATGCCATTCCCGTTGTGTATCAACACATTAAAGAAAAACAACAAAAAAGAAGCTATCAGACTGTTGAAACTAAACTTTAATAACCGCTCTTTTGAACACTGTGTATCTTTACTCCCCGCAACGAAGCCTTAGCAGAGTTTGTGTTTACCCCAAAATTTTTTCACAACTGTGAGCGATAGTCGCGCGAAGCGGCAGACGGGCGCCGGCGCACGCGTCCAGTYAATCACAGCAGCTCGAACCTTTTCACGAGAGCAATGCTACTTTTTCTCTTTGGAAATTTGCTAAGGAACTTCAGTGTTGTTGTGAACAGAATGTCTTAGGGTTTGTTCCCGCACCTGTTTTAGTTGTCTTTAAAGCTGCAAGTTACGGAAAAAAAAAGCAGCCAAATCAAAATCTATCAGCGTATGACTAGTTATTTAACCAAACCCTGATGTTTTTCTGCCTGTTTTTCTTCATGTTCCGCTCCAACCCCAGTGCCAATGACCAAGACTTTTAATTTAGATTGTGGTTTTTATGATCTGTTTTGTTTTTCTTAATAGCTTCACGTACTATAGTGTTACTGTACTGATTTGTATCCTATGCATTTCTGTCTTAATGGAAAAAAAAAACTGCACGAACCACTGTCCTACAAAACAGAGCTMCTTTAGTTGTAATAAGAGCTCAAACGTCCTGTTTGAGAAGACTCGACCTGTTTTTGTTCAATGAGGTGACATTTGAGAAGTGATTTGTGAACCCCTTGTAAAAAAAAAAAAAAAAGAAAAACACGAAAAACGAGTTCTTAAAACTGAGAAGAAAATGTTTTAGGACAACTCTGGTAACAAAAGAACAGAACATGAGTTGTGTGGTGACGTGCAAACAGTGAACCTTTCTCTGCAGCAAACATCTGGTTTACGAAGGTCATAAAACTTTTTTGTAAAAAAAAAAAAAAGAATACTCCACCCTTAAATGCTTCTACACTGTTATACAAAGTATGCTCATCTTTAGGTTTATGCTATCCAGAGGGGTCCATTTGTTGGGTCCACCATCAAAACATCAACAGATACTGATTAAATTGACGGAAAAGTCATTGATCAATCGTGATAATTAGTGTTTTCCATTTGTGCTCTGTTTCAAATTGGGAAAAACAACTGAAGTCAGAATTATGACTTGACCTCAAAATTCTATATGGCTTCCCAGCTCGTAAAAATGGTCAGCTGTGGTAATGATTACTTAGTCTTGTCAGATTTTGTTTGTTTTTTTAATCAATTACAGGCATTATTTCTGACCACCTTATTAGTAACCATGTTGCTTGAGTGCAGATGAATATATTATTAGCTTGTGTTTCTAATAGTAGTAGTAGTGGTGGTCAGTGAAAAAAAATCCCCTAGATTGTCTGGTTTACAAAAGTTAAACTAAGCTGGATGTGGCATTATTCCGAAATCCAAGATCTGACTTCAGATTGAAATTTAAATAAAATAACGTTTATAAAAGTACTTTGTGTTGATCTCAAATAAGCACAACTTAACAAGCTATAATGTTCAAATTAAGGCTCAAATTAAACTCATTTACTTTTATTTATTTTGTGTAACGTCTTACTGTTCTTACAAAGAGAGAAAAACAAAACTTGTACTTTCTTTGGTTTCCCAGAAGATGAAAAAAATAGTGTGCACTGTGTCGATCTACGGAAGGGAGTTAGAGACAAAATTTTATTTATTTTTGGCCCCCAGTGTTAAAATGCATGCTGCAGTCTAAACGCTGGACTTATTTTACAAACCAAATAAGTTTTTCTTAGCAGATCTTGAGTTTCCACCATTGTGCAACATCTTAGCAGAGGTTGAAGATCTTTGTTTACTATTTTTTAAATAGTTTTGAATACCAGCTTGTGAAACTCTCTCCATATCTGCATTTGAGTAGGCAAAGCGTTCAGTTGTACTTTTTTTTATTTAAAACTAGCCTGTTAAGCTCCAGCTGACTGATGTTATTCTGATAAAAGTTTAGGCATTTTAAAAAGCTTAATTAGTGTTTGCATCAAAGTGTTGTCATGCTGAAACTTTCCTATTTAAAGTCAGATCCGTTGAGCCCCTCTAACATTTTAACATAGCTTAGCTTTTATTTTCGCTGTAGCCATTGGCACATAATATATCAACATATCAGTCACAAATGATGTCAGATTTTTATTTCTGGGTTCAAAGTACATATCAGCTCAGTAAATGCTGCAAAACTAAAAGCCTAATGTGTTTATGGTAAATACAGAATTAGAACCAAAATGTGAGAATAGATAAAGTAGATAATCAAGAGGCAGAGAGGTGTTTAGCATTAATGCTAACAGTCAACTAAAATTGAAATATTTTCCCCTAAAAATGAACCTTTTGTTTGCTTTTTTTATTTGACTTGGTTGTAAATATGTATGTTGCATCTATGTTATGGTATTTGTTTTTAGATTGATTAATTTATTTAATGCCTATATATATTGTTGTTTTTACATTTCCTGATTTTGTTTTATTAATTGGAAACAAGTCAAGGGGATGTTGTGTTATCGACATTTTTTCTTACTCGTTATTTTCTTTCTTTATATTTTGCTGTTCCAGCTTTGGGTGACGTTTATTTGGGAGCAACAAAAAAAAGTGATCTTCATTTACTTGTATTTACCGATACGTAACATATTCCGTTTAACTGTGCTGTATTTGATCTGATGTGTCGTTGTCACTGCTTGTGAAGCAAATTTTGTTTTGTTTTTTTTCAGAGAGTTTCCAAATCATGACAAAAGATGAAAGCAGTCACAAGTTTTTTCATTTTGTTTGTATGAGGCATGCTGTCACTTGCACATTGTACCGTGAGGGGAGTTTAATGGAGAGAAATCTAAGAATGTGGAAATTAATCATGCAAATTTAATCTTTTGAAATCCCCAAGATAAAACATATTGAGCTGATAAGTACAGTGGTTTTAAAGCAGAGGCCCCGTTTACATTACTAAAGTTATTTTAAAAATGAAATATTTTACTTATCTTGACCCCATTGTCAAGTATTTTGGGTGGAAAAATCTAACATTTAAAAAAAATAATTTAATTTTAAAGTTTTTTTTTGGGGGGGGGGGGGTATTTACGTCTTTTACTTTAGCTGATCTTTTTACTGTTGAACTGTGTGCTGAAAGTGTTAATAGTGCGTGCATATAAAATGTTACATTGTTTTCCTYGCATTTTGATATAATGTTAATGTGGACAATGGGGCAGCACCGATATTTATTATTATTATTTTTTTAAGAGTTTAAAGTAATTTGGACTTTTTTTCTGTTTTTTTTTTTTTTTTTTTTGCTCCCCTTTGTGGGTGAGCAACCTCACACAATAAATTTGGTAATTGTTGTGCACTCCATGCCCTTCCTGGGCTCGAACCTGCAGGGTCACAAGACTGCAGTCCCATAGTAGATTATTATTATTATTATTATTATTATTATATATTTTTATTTTATTACAAATTACAAGAAAATTGTATGCTCTGACAAAATACAGTGCAGAAAAGGTCAACTAAGCTAATCCTGCTAGCTAACAAGCTAAAACCTCTTTTTAACTAAGCAATGTTGGAAAACTGCTTAATATCTAAAACACTTCAGTATTAAAATGCAACATAACGTTACTTATACCTAGTAGGTTGTCTTTTTACTAATTGAAGAAATTATTTCACAGAATATTAGTTTTCATTATTTAATTCAGCTAATTTCCCGTACAGTGGGCTGCATAAAGCTTCTAACGGCTGTTTTGTTTGAAGTTAAGTGTTGGAGAACGGTCAAACTTTATGGGCGAGCTGATGCTGAGAGGTGGATACGAGTGCTGAGAGAGTAGTGGAAGTGGTGAGGACGAGTAGAAAATAAAAATAATGCAATGAAGGCAACAGGTGGCATGGAGTGGGCGTATTAATACAGAATATTTTGAATGTGGCAGTCATTGCACAAGAACGCTGAACTGTGGTGAACTCCGTGACTTGATAATTATTTTATCTGTTTTCTGAACTATGACGTACAGTAAAACCTTAGCATTTGTCTTTGTTTCAGGCTTTTCTTCATTTTTTTATTGTTTACTGTATCTTTAGAGCTGCGTATCATTCCATTTCTTTTTGTTATGAATAAAAGTTCACATTTTATCCTCAAAAACCTGCTTTTCCATCAGTTACAATACCAACTAGGGTGATTGAGGACAGTTGAAACCGTGTCTCGGTTAACAGAATCATGACGTTTGTGGTGAACAATCTTGATTTTGGATAAATGTTTGTGCATAGATTTGATTTATTTTAGGTGTGTGCATATCTGTTTTGTTATCATAAAGAGACTGAAGTGATAAATTGTAAAGCTTTCATTGAAGAACTCAACTAAATGGTGGGCAGAGGTTTGAAGACTAAAAACATTCCTCCGGTGTGATTTGGAAGTGTGAAGCCATTTTTATTTTATGTTTTTTGAGTCGAAACAAAGGAATTTGTAGGTTTGAGGCATTTTGCACGCGGATAAATTTTTTTCAAACTTCTCAATAACATCTGATTTCCTGTGAGTAAAAACACAGCTGCTCTGTTTTCAGTTCAGTCATCGGTTTTCTCTCATTTTTGTTATTTTGTAAAGTTTGTAGCGTGYGGCAGGTGTATTTGTTCCAGTGCGTCCAGTCCATCACGTTAAAGTGACCCAGTTCTGTCCTGGTGAGATTAAGACAGATGTATATGAAAACCGTGACATTGCTTTAACAAAAGGACTGAGGAGTGTTTAAACTTTAGTATTTTACATCATAACCCTGTTGGATGCCATCCAGGCTCAGTGCTGTTAGAAACGTCTCCTAATGTTTCCCTCTGGAGGGAGCAGGGCTGACCTCAGGAGGATTTCTGCCATGACCGCAATGGATTGTAAGAGTGAGAGGAAAAGTAAAGATGTGGCTTTTTGTCATGATTTAAGAGACTGAACTGAAATTATGCCATTTTGTCATTGTGCTAAAAAAATAAATATTATATATTAAAATATATTTGCTAACCAAATATGTGTTTCATGTGAGGTTCTTTTTTAACAGCTGAGAATTGTGAACGTACTATCAATGGAGTATTTGGGCCAAGACAGAAATACTGTATTTTTTTAATTACATGAATAAAGTCATAATGGGGGAAAAGGGTCTTCAAAGAATAAAGTCGTATATACGGAAGCCGAGAGCAGACGTTTTCTGCATTTTTTTTTTCCGACGGTTTTCTCGAGATACCGTTGTGATTAACTGTGGATCATACAATAATCATGGAGACGGCCCAATCCCCTCAGCTGATTACAGATRGTTTATTATATCAGCAGGATCTCTGTGTGAACGCCTGCTGATCTGCAGTCAGGCCAGCCATCTCATTAAATGACGAGGGCTGATATGAAAGTTATCTGTATAAGACAAACTGCAATTTGAGTCTGTGTTATGATACAAAAATGACATAAYTATGAACAATTAATAGGTTTCCTTCAGGCCCAGGCCACCTTTGCAAAAGAGATCTGCAATCTCATTGGGATTTGCCTGGTTTAATAACAGTACGTAAATAAATAATAAACTTAATCGCTGACCAGGCCATTCGCATGGTTACTGAATGATGCACAAGAGGAAAACCATCCAGATGTTAACTCATCTCGAGAAAACGCTCCTCGACATATGTCATCACTAGAAAAGCACGGAAAATAATTATATGYGGAAAACCGACACTCTCAGCTTCCGTACACATGAGTAAAGTCATATTATGAGAAAGTCAGAAAAGTCATACAAGAAAAATGTCATATTACAAAAATAAAGKCGTACAGGAAAAAAACAGATTGTGAGAATAATGTACGAAAATAGTCATATTATGAGAACAAAGTGGTAAGAGAATAAAGTTTTGCATGAAAAAGTCATTAGGAGAAAAGTCATGAATATTACGAGAATAAAGTCATATTACTAGAACTAGGTCATATGAGATTAACGTTGAAATAATAACAGAAAAAAATCCTAATATAACAAGTCATAGCACTATGAGTATTCCTACACAAAAAACAATCTCACCACGTTAAAATGAGATGTGTTGAGCATTTTATGAAGTTATACTTTGCTACTGATTTTACAAATAAATATTTAATCTTTTAACACATCAGCATCAAATGAGCATTATGTTATTATCATTAGTATTATTAGGAGGTTGAAACGATTGTCTTATTGTTTATTTCCAAGACATTATTCTTGTTCTCGACATTATTTTTTGCAAAAATATGATTTTATTCTTAAAAAAAATTAATTTGAAAAGCCAAAAGACATAACTGGATGTAAAACGTTTTTTTAAACAAAGGAAAAGGTTCAGATTTGCATTTTAAAAAGCAGAAAGTCAAAGCTTGGCTTGATTTAAGGATTTGTTCCAAGGGAACGATGTAAAGTGGAGTGATCTAACATCTTCCCACGAGGTTGTTTTCTCATATTTAAAACTCAGAGCGGTGCAGTGGACCCCAGAAATATGGCCGCGAAGTCCTGACCAACAACACAACATACTTAGTGCATTTCCTGTGAGAAAAGTTCTGTAAGGAGCCTGGACACAGAGCGAGTTCAGAGGTGATGTAGAAACAAAAAGTGCAGTTTTCATCAAGAAGTAAAAATCCACTTTTTGTTTTCATATAAGTATCAAGACCAAAAACCTTCCTTTAAAAATGGGTTGAGTTTCTAATAATGATATTAATAAACATCTACAGCATCTCTAAGTGAAGCATTTTCAAAAACAAACATTTTTCCTTCACAAATGAACGAGTCGACAAAACTGTAAAAGTGAATATTCTTCCAACTTTAAATTTACTGAGAATTCAGAAGCTTCTGTCACATTTATTATAAAAAACTGTTTACAACACAAAATGTTTGATTTCAGATTAAATGCGTTAATACCATTAAATACACTCTGCAACATCATGTTTGCAACATCTAAATGAACATAAGATGGGTTCTTATTCTGTAGTTTTATTTTTAAACAGTCACAGAAACAACAGTGTCGTTTGTTTATCAGATTCTGTTTTGCATTTTACTGCAGAACAACAAAGAAGACCAGACGTCTGTTTGGTTCATTTCTCCTCACCRTTAGAAAACATTTTGCAGTTTCAAAGAATTATTTTTTCATCTTTTCGAGGAGTTCCTCCAGTTCTGATCGTACTTTGAAGCGAGCCTCGAAATCGTCCTCAGTGTGCTGAGAGAAAAACAGAAACAAAAACAATCATTTTCATTTGACTCACGTTGTTATAAAACTTAAGACAACATGAGAGTGGTTGAGCTGAAGCAACAGTTAACATTGTTAAAATGCACTTATTTTGTGATGGAGACATAAATATTTTATATTAAAGGGATTGTAGATCGTAAAAACATTTCTTGCTGACTCACCTCCTTCACCGAGAGCTGAACTCCTTCTGGTTGGTTCTTTAACAGAACCTCCATGAAAACAGCACACAGTGTGGTGTTCAGACTCCTCAACTACAAACACAAATAAGATTTAAAGCTGGACTCTCTTTGGCGGGAACTTCATAAAACTGACAGTAAGAAGGAGAAWTGAAGCAGAGTTTTTACCTGAATCACTCGTTGGTGAGTCTTCAGGATGGAGTCGATGAAGGTTTTGGTGCTTTTTTCTTGCATCAGGACCACCTCGGTGGTCTTTGTGGGCAARCCGTAGCTGCAAGTGACGAGGAGGAAGATAAATATTAGGGACGGAGCAAAATGATGGGTGGATACGACTTTTTATCAAGTCTCCTTTCTGAAAGAACTTCTTTTCACCCGATTGACAAACATTTTCTCAAAAACAAACAAAAATAAAAGACTGAAAAGAGAAAAGGAGTAGAAATTATTAGATGAGTTTTTTTTTTTCATAGATTCATCAGGTCATACGTGACGACTTGTTTTACTGCAGAAGATTCAATTCTGCAGATAATATGAAATGCCAGCAAAAAATAAAATCCAATTTTCATTAGATCCACTGAGAGCTGAATCATTCTATTAGTTTAAAATGGTCCACAAATGATGTTATCATTTATTGCAGTGATTTCTGAGACAATTCACCGTCCAGCAAAATGTATTCTGGTGACAGACTCTAAGAAAAAATATGTGGATGACTTTGCAGAGGTTCACCGAAACAGATTTAACAGAGCTCCATGGGATTTTTTTTTTATATAACAACCTGATCTGTACTTCATTTCTTTGACTCTGATCTGTACGGGGAGATCCTTGGTCTTGATGTCTCCTGCCTTGTAGCAGGTAAAGCTTAGGGTTGAACTGACGTATCAAACTGCAGCAGGTTGAAYTTAAAACGCCCTCCTCACCTTTCTGTCACCCTGATGTCGAGCCGGATGCAGAGGTTGTGGATGTACTGGGCGTAATGCTCCACCACCGTCATGTCGTAACCCGACACCGTCAGGTTCAGGGTCCCGTACGCCGTGTCCGTGGCGGGAACGATGGGTATCATCTTAATTCTGTCCTTCTTTTTCTTGGGCTGAAACAAAATCAACAGAGTACAACCTTCACGCCGACGAATCCAACGAGGAGTTTAAGTCGTTAAAATCTGACAAACTGTCAAAACCTGACCTGATCGTTCAGTTAAATCTGGTGCTAAACTAGCAAGGATGCAACAAAAACACTTTTTTGAAACTTACAGCAACTTTTCGTACGAGATGCCTCCACCTCCCGATCCCATGTGTCGGCATGCTTCTGAACTGCCTCTCGTTTACAGAGGCTGTGCCTGAAGGGACCAAACATCCATTAAAATCTCTGACTCACAACACAAATACTATATAATGTCGCTTCCAGGGTTAAGAGTTTCATTAAAGGTTGACTACTTACACCACGCAGGGTGCTGGATGGACGGTGTGGCTCTGAAAAGATTACAGGACAAAGATGAATGAAAAATAATGTTTTAAAGGTTACAAGACTTTAAAAATCAGGTTCTCAGTCAAGCCTCAGTGCAGTGAAACACATTAATCATCCTATCACGATCCATTACAGCTTCATTCCACTCAATCTCCGCGGATATAAATACAATTAAAAGTGTTCCAGCTTCAAACATGGAAATGAATCAGTTGTGCATAAGAAAATTCAAAAACGTACCTGCATAATGTTAGGGCATGAGTCAGCACAAAAGGCTTTTGTGTGACTAAAATCTGCAAACATAAGAAAATAAAACCCCAGGTTTCATTTTTTACTTATTGTAAAACTTATAATGTAGTGTACTGAAGCACTGATCAGTTCACCCGGAAACTACTACAAAGCGGCGAGAATATTCATAATGTTTAATAGTATTTAAAAAAAAACAGAAAGCATACACACTTTTCTGTCTCCCCCTTCTTTTTTTTTAAACCTTTTGCCCACTACTGCCATTGGGACAGCTGTATTGTCTGCCTGATTTTGTTTACAATGACCTCTAAATACACATTTTCAGAGAAAAGTAAAAAATAAAAACTTTACCTTACGGAACACGGAGTTCATCTTCTGTCTTATGGTGTTCAGAGCAAACCGAGTCTAAAAATAACTCATTCCTTCTATTAAACCACGTAGAATGTTTAAATATACATCTAAACACACGCCGTTCAATCGGCAGCTAAAACCGGAAATACACACCGGAAGTTAGAGCGTCTGTCATGTCCGTCGAATACACAGACAAGAACAATAGTTCCGCCTTTCAGGGAACATAAAAACGTAAAATTGCTTGAATTCACATTTAAAACAAACATCTGTGCTTATTTAGTTTTGATGAAAATGTTTGCAGACATTTTATTAAATTTGTTTAGTTTTCAAGTTTTATTTTTAAATTTCTATATATTTTGGCTTTATTTTTAAATGCTCCAGTTACAAATATGACAAAGGTCATATTTGTAACTTAACTTTGTAATTATTAAACTTTAAACAAATAACATAATAAAAACATGCTGAGTGTACAGACTAGTTGTACTACCATTTTTAAAGCTTGTTTTCACACATTAACAGTTTTTATTTAGTGCCACACTTTGACAACAATGGCACTATTTGATTTTTCCTCTTATAAAACAAAACATTGACTCTTTTTAATCCTTTTTATCCCAAAAGCGTCATAAGAGGAAATTTTATTGAAAACRTTCGACAGGATTTTTATTATGCAACTTTTATTTTTTTATTGGTCACTCGTATCAAAATAAAAATGACATTTTTCACATTCAAAATATTTTCAAAGTAAAGTGCAGGATTTCACATCACCTAAAACAGATACTTCAGTAATAATCTCTTTTAAATCATTCAAAGCATTCAGGCTCAGAAAGCGCATCTATGAAAAGCAGATTGTAAAATCGTATCACGATGCATCAGCTTTTTTTATTTATTTATTTATTTATTTTTCTTCTTTGGCTTGCAATATTTAACTAAAGCATGAAGCAACATTACATAACACTAATTCAAGTTTCCTGCTCCTGGGGTCGTGTTAGCGCCGTCTCCTCTGAGGTCAAACATGTTGACAGAAACCATCAGAATCAACTCTGTGTGGAGAAACATTTATAYTTTCTTTCAAGTTGGCTGTCACTGAGCTATGAATATCCACAAAGCTGTTGAAATTTGACAAACTGGTAAAAAAATATTAAAGTGGTAGAAAATGAAGCATTGCTGCATGCAGAGTGTCATTTAGCTTGAACCCTTTTTGGCCAAATTCTGTTTTCATACATTMAGGTTTTGTGGACGTAGCAGGTATGAACTGCAAATATTTCCTATAAAAGCACTTAAACCAGTGTTCAGCTGAAGCATCACTGGGTTAGCATGAGATTCAGTGCAGTTAGATTAAAGTTCAGTTTAATCCAGAGGTTCAATCTTCTGATGGTGAAACATCTGCTGTGTCAGCAAGTGTAAAACTCAGATACAAATAACTGCATCCGTCAAACACCTCTCACTTCATAGTCATCCTCGTCATCTTCCTCCAGTTCTTCCTCTTCCTCTCCTTCCTCCTCCTCCTCCTCCTCCTCCTCCCATGAGCTAAAATGGTCTTCAGCCAGCTCACTTTGATCACCTAGCCCCTCCTCCTCCTCCTCCTCCTCCTCCTCCTCTTCCTCCTCCTCGCCTTCACTCCTCATTTCCTCCTCGCTGCTGTCGTCGAGGTCGTCGTCTTCATCATCACTGTCGTCCTCGGGAGCTGCTTCCTCGTTATCTTCATGCTCCTCCTCTTCCTCAGGATCTGACAGTTGACCTGATGGGAAGTAAAATTGAAATAAAATTTTAAAATTTTTTATTTGAACAGAATTAAGTTTTTACCTTCTAATGGTTAAAGCTAGAGGATCAGATCTTTAAATTCGTTTAAAAAGTTCTCCAAACAAGATTATCATTTATAACAATTTCTGAGACAATTTATCGTCCAGCAAATTTTGTTGTTTATTTTTTTTAAGTAAAATGTGTTGTTGTGACACAACATCACCTCAGATTGGCCAAACTATCCCTTTAAAGGACTCATTAAAGAAAAAGAAAATGCCATCCTTTTTCACTGAAGGTGTTTTTAAACCAACTCTTACACATTAAATTGATGGTGGTAACAATCTGACAGGGAAATTCATCCAGGAATTTCTCCATCTCCTCCTCCATCTTTATTCCAAGAATCTCCGTCTCCACTTCCACGTACTCCGGGTAGAACATGTCCTTCTTCAGCTGCCGGCGGCACCTTCCAAGAAAATCAAACCACTATTAAAAAAAACAAAATGACCACATTTACTGCAAAACATTTGCATATTTGTTGTGGAAGGAAAAAGTGAAACATCTTTAAAATCATTAAAATAAATAAAATCATGGGTCGAAGTTAAAAAGATTCCTGCAAATTAGTCTGTTTTTCCTTTACAKGTCAGATTTAAAAAGATCTGTAAGAGATTCTTTATTGTTGATTATAAGTGATAGTGACATGAATAAAACAAAAAAAGGGGAAATAGTTAAAACAAATCAAGGTAAACTGAGAAATAAATTGTTTTGCATTTGTGATTCAAACACTACCCCCAACTTCCACCTGATTTAATAATTAAATAAATAAGATCCAGCTAACACTAACCCAAAGCTTTATTTACAACAGACTAAATAATGAATCATGAAATAATCATATAAAAAATGTTACTTACTGTTTTCCAGTTGTCTTATATGTCTGAAAACAAATAAAAGCAAACATATTTAAACATAAAAACAAATTTAGTCAATAATTCACACAATTAATCATCTCCATGGTATAACACAAACTACAGTTTGTTCTGATGCATCAAAGTCATGTTTATCTGACTTCTAAAAATAAAATCATATTTTAGAGCTCCAGACTCAGATTTATGTGTCTGTTTTTGATGACATCAATTAAAAAATAATGTTTTTAAATGTATAGTACAGTAGGGTTGGGCAATATTGGCACAAAAATTAATCACGATTAATTGTGGTATTTAGCCGATAACGATTAATTTGACGATTAATCCCCTGGAGTCCCAGGACACCCTTATGTCCTGGTCACATGACCTATTTAGTGGGAAAGATTTGCTCTTCATAAAAATCTTTTCCAAATTGTGTAAAAATTACAGACTTCAGGTTATACATCAAATTCTAAATTATGTTGATAGATAAATAAATTACAGAACCTTTTTTTAATGTTCGTCATATTTGAAGTGGAGAGGAGCAGCGAGCGGACTGACTGGAGAAATCTCCAGTCAGTCTGCCTGGTGGCATTAATCATATTAATCAACAAGTGCCAAAAAATAATCGATTAATGTTTTTCTGGCAATTAATTGCACACGATACAATTATGCCAAACCCTCTAGTACAGATTGTACCAAAAAGATGAAGTGAATTACATTTCAGACTTCTTTAGAAAAACTAATTAAATTAACTTTAGAAAACGAAACACGTTGGAAAATCAAAATGCTTTTCCATATTCTGTTCATTTTCCCTCCAGTTTTTTAGACCTAAAAGCAAATTCTGTGCTTCTCACGCTTCTTAGGACTTTACAAAAGCTGTTTTTATACAACATTATGAGAAACTACAGTGGGGAAAATAAGTATTTAGTCAGTCACCAATTGTGCAAGTTCACCCACTTAAAAAGATGAGAGAGGCCTGTAATTGACATCATAGGTAGACCTCAACTATGAGAGACAAAATGTGAAAAAAATTTTGAGAAAATCATTTTGTCTGACTTTTAAAGAATTTTTTTGCAAATAATGGTGGAAAATAAGTACTTGGTCACCTACAAAYAAGCAAGATTTCTGGCTGTCACAGACCTGTAACTTCTTTTTTAAGAGGCTCCTCTTTCCCCCACTCATTACCTGTATTAATGGCACCTGTTTGAAGTCGTT